CTTCCACTTCCAATAACCGATGCAGCGACAGCCAGGCTCCAACGTGTACTCCCTGGCCAGGTCGGCCCAGGTTGTAGGCTCCCTGGCCAGGATGTACCGGTGTCGGCAGGGGCGTTGTGACGTCGCCCAGAGGTGCCTGCTCCAAATCTGGTGTCCCATGTCTAAAGAATACGCGGTGGTTTTGCTTTGTACATTGTCCATTCCTGGATGACTTCTTGACGCTGCTGCTCCGTTCTGGGGAATTATCACAAGTGCTCAACACGGGTATAATTTTGGTAAAGGGAGATAAAGAATTGTCGAACCAATGAGCTGCACTCAACCCGAATTACATCCAAGCTAGAACACTCGGTTCTCTGTGTTCTAATTAAGAGCTACAAGGTGTTGCTGTTCATCTGCAACCGTTTGCATCTAATTATTGTAGTTGCGCGTCAATGATTAACCTGTGTAAGGCCACAACAAAAATGAGCATTTCCCTTAATAGTAGACTGAAACCGGTACTGGGGAAAGTCAGCTGTATGTGCGTCTCCACGCATTCAACAGAGGATAATATGAGAATGTTCTCACCTTCCAGTGACCTCATGTGGTGTCATGAGGATGACAGCCCCGTGCGGACAACACACGATGCAGCATAGAGCGTGACCAAAGTGAGGCTGGAAGCGTACAACTACGCCGTTGCCTGGCGTTGGTGGTCACGCTCTCGATTTCACCTGACTCATCATTCATCATGGGCGATAATTATTGCCTGATTTTGACTTTACATCACTTCCTTGAACAGGATGCATCAAGTCGCTTCAAGCCCTCACTCACGTACGAGCTCTGAATCATTTCAATACGCATGACTGCTGCGGCGTTTGATGGACTGGCCCACAGCGCAAGCCGTGTTTGAAGTGCGGAGGCGGTCACGCTCACGTGGCAAGAAGCGTCGCCCAGCGGCGTGACTTGTGGCTTAGTGCAGGTGCACAAAAGTCTCTTTCCAGGGTCTTGCCGTTTTTTAACCCTGATCAGTGACGTAGACAAGGGGATGTTTTTGGGGCTATAGCCACCCCTGGAGGTGGCGGGGTCCCTGGGACGAACGTCCTGGTGCTTGTTTAGCTGTTTAACGCTAGTAGGGCTTATCAAACATCCAAAAACGGACATCTGAGGCATTCACATAGGGTCCCAAACTTACAAAGACCCTCTAAATCCCAAAACCGGGTTCCTGTAGCAACGAAGAGGGACGCTTTTGGCTGCACAGCCCCTACAGGGATCCGATTTGGTCCCCCCCCTTCCCCCTAGGCGAAATATTGGCTACACCACTAGCCCTGACAATCTCCTCTTACGTTCCAGTGAACAGTAGTGAACAATATAACAATGTGCCCTAAGATCGCCAGCGGTTCCAAAAGCCTAATTTTTAAAGGCATTGGCCTTTCCGAGAAGTGGCGTTTGAGTCAGCTGCTTAGAAGGTGGTGACACATTCTCCTGATTAATTTGGCAACCGTTGTTTGGTTGTGAGTCGTCTCTGTGCACTCTAATAATGTTACGAAGTTTCTGTCCTGGAATGGACCCGCGGGATTTAACTGTGTGCTGGTGTTTCGTGCAGATAGAAATTTCATCTAAAGAACACGTAGTCTTCCCCGCGTGCGCTTCTGCTTAAGGCTTGTTTGATGAAACTAGTCTCGCTGAAAAACCTGTTTAGAACGTTGAGATGCAAGAAATGTTATTCAATTCAGCAGTTGCACAAGGTAGACTACTTGATATGTAGCAAGCCACCTTGTATATGATGCACACCAGATAACAGATGCCAGATCGAGTGCGTCCCACACGTTGTCGTAGTGCGCGGCGAGTTATGGCCACCACTGTCCTGAAGTCACGGCTGGGCGGTCCCCGGGCATCACGGGCTAGCCCGGCCTGACCTCTCGTAGGCGCATGACTCGCAGTGCTGGGGCGTCGGTTGGGCGCAGAGGCCTATCCACGGATGAAGAACACAGAGTACACCAGTAATGTGGGCGCAGCTTAAGGGTGTAGTTTCCTATTCAGTTTGAAGGGACTTCAACTTCCCCAGCGCGAAGAGGAAAGTGAGTTAAATTTGGAGAAAGCCTTTTTTAGTTTGTTGAAGGGTTAAAACACAGTTTTCTCCCTCAGGACACTCCCCACTTATCTTTTATCTTACTATCTCCCATCTTTTTCTTCTTCCATCTTTTTTATCTTGTCTCCCACTATCACTTATCCTTCAAAGCTGAGTATCTGGCCAAGTGGAACAGAGCTGACTCACATGAACCTTTTGAAAGCATTGCATGTGAGGGTGTTGGTAAGACGGCGCGTCGAGTGACTGCTTCTCAAACATGCTATTTTTGGAAGAGTAGTTTGTTCGGTTGGCTTGGATAGCAGCACCACTGAGCCATACATATTGACCATGCCGGTTCATGCCAAACGCGGCCGGTGGCTAACGTCCGTGGGATGCGCACGCGCCTCGGAGATCGGGTCACACGCGTCACGTGACGGCGCGCCGGGCGCCTAGTCGGGCCGCCTGGCCGGCCGCTGGCGTGGTTCCGGGCGCCAGCAGACTACAGCCATACTGTTGACTGGCGCAGGCGAAATATCTCCCCGGTGACAACGTGCGCGCATGACTCACAGCAGACGGGCGCCGCAGCGGCGTGCGGCTCCATATGACGCCCGTTCCCGGCGGGCGGCAGCGGGGGGGTCTGTCTCGCGCGCTCCCAAACATCCCGCTGCGGGCGCGGTCTGTCGCTCCGCTGCTGGCCGGCCGGGTCAGGTTGCACTCGTGACGGCTCATTGTGCACTGCTGGTGCACACAGTCACACAGTCACACAGCACAGTAACGAGGACAGGAAGCCCGGCCACCGGCGATGCTGACGTCATGCCGGTCTGCATGGCAGGGCGGCTGCCGCGGTGACCTGACGAGTGGTGTGCAGAGCGAGGCCGTGTGCGCTGGTGCGCTGCTCCCTATGATGCTCAATGAGGGCTATGAGACGGGTTTCACTGGTTTCGCGATGTTAAGATGTGCTTGGCATTGTGTCAAATAGAGCGCCACTGGTGTTGCTATGCCTCTGCATTTCCGAGGGGCCAGTGTTATGACTGTAAACAGGGTTTCCGTGCTGTGGCGTGGCAATGCCTAAGCATTTTTCATGTCCTTCAGCCTTCATGGTGGGTTTATTACTAGGAGCGGTGTCCGGATCTAGAGTGTGTGGGGGGGGGGGGGCAGGGGGTGCAGTGGCGGCCTCCCCTTCCCCCCGACTGCGGCTCAGTGGTGTGTGTTAGGGGTACCACGTAACAGCTCTGTAGTCACAAAACCCTTCACTTTGGGCAAAAGTAGACTTAAAATATTGAGGAGGAAAACATGTGATTGTCTCTCTGCCCTGTTCATTGCCCCTCCGCGGTGTCCTTTGTCCTTGTCGATGACAACAGCGGATTCCTCTGCCACAGTTGTCCATGCTGTCTGTCTCTGAGACCCGAGATGATTGCACCCAAAGCCCGTCAGCTTCTTTCCGGATCCACCACCCACCGAGAGCTTCTCCTTCCAGCCCTCCGGGTCCAGCGGCGGATCACCTCTGTGCTCCTATCACACATTCGCTCATCGGCAGCGACAAACACCGACACCGACCAAGCGGCCTCCGGCTGACGCTGGCCGCTCCCGTCCACAGACGGCCCGCACGCCGCGCCACCGTGACTTGGCCGCGTGCCAGCGCTGTCGTCTGCCACCGGCGCGTTTTCGGCTGTTTTCGTGTGGCGTGCGTGTGGCTGGACTCCGTCAGCACCGACGGCGACCCTCGCCGTGACCCTGACCCGAGCCGGTGTGCGCGCACTCGCGTGCTGAGCTCGCCGAGCGCGGCCCTCCGCGCCCAGCGCGTGCTCGGCGCAATCCGCCGTTTTTGCCCGCGTGCTCGGGCGGCGACCAAGTGTGACGTCATTGTAAATGTCGGAGGGGCGCGAACGAGAGGGCGGGGGGGGGGGGGGCTTGCGACGACGGCCAGGACGGAAGGTCAGGGAGGGTCTCAGTGGATCGTCCGTCGCGGAGGCCTGGGGTTAGAGATAATCGGTGCGTGCCAGCCCATGGACTTCGTACTTAAGGCGATTCCAGAGTAGCATGAGCCCGCTGATGGCGTGGTAGTCATTAGCGCAGCATCTGATTTGTATGATTTACTACCAAGAAGGATCCAATCGTTTCATACTCAAGTAGTGTAGTTTGAAGCGATCCTCGATGACCCAGTTGCAAGAGAAAGAAACGTATTGTGGTGTCGTGTATTTCACAAGCACCAGGTTCCGAGCGAAATAGTGCTGATCGTTTGCGGCGTGAGTGTTCTTGCAATGTTGACGGCGTTCTCGGAGACAGCGATGATGGTTTCTGAGATTTATGTCTGCCGGTGATTACAAAGCCGGAACTGCAGGGTTGTTGGCCGTGTTTGGTACGCCTGGAGTGAGCGCTAAGTTCGCGCATGGCGTCAAACTGTGCGTCATGTCCGATTTCTGCCTTGTAATTATGCACGTACGTCAAGCGCGTCGGTACAGTTTATGGGGCTGCCACAGCATTATGCACTTCACGTGATTAAATAGCCTCTGCTGCTACTAAACACATGTCAGTGTGTTGATTGACTGTCCACGGTAGCTTATTTCGTCCAAACGAATGACTCGGGGAAAGCCCGAACATTTCCGTTCGTGACCGTTTCCGGCACTACCGGTGCTCGGGTCATTAATATCCCGTACCGCTTGAGCGTCTCCTTCGCTTGACTGGAGATGAAGAGCGCGCCACTCATCTCCGGTCAACGGGAACGCCTCGGCATGGCCGGCCGGCGTGACGAGGCAGATCCGGTCACGCATCACGTGTCCGCTGCGGGGGCCGGGGATGACCCCGTGTGAGCTCCGGTCACCACGCCTGCGGCACTGACCCGCGGGCGGGACAGGGTGGGTCCCCCTCCCCCCCCTTCTCCCCCCCCAGAGACCCGGCTGCCGTGTCCACCGCCGAGTGACCGGCTTACCTGACCGCGGTGTCCGCTTTTGCCGACAGTTAGCGCCACCGTCGCACCATGGCCTCAAACGGGCACGAGCAGGCGTACGCGGCCAGTCCGCAGCGCGACCAGCCCGAGGAGGAGGAGATGTTGGCCGAGGAGCGTGACCTCGCCGAGGACGCCCAGTGGAAGCGCATCCAGCAGAACACGTTCACGCGCTGGGCCAACGAGCACCTGAAGAACGCCAGCAAGCACATCTACTCGCTGGAGACGGACCTCGAGGATGGCCTCGTGCTCATCTCCCTCATCGAGGTGCTCAGCGGGAAGCGGATGCCCAAGCACAGCAAGCGGCCCACCTTCCGCTCCCAGAAGCTGGAGAACGTGTCCGTGGCGCTCAAGTTCCTCGAGCGCGACGAGAACATAAAGATCGTCAACATCGGTGAGTGGCGACGCGCGGAGGGCGGAGAGGAGGGGAGGGGCGTCAGATCGTGAGAGCGACTCGGCCCGAAAACAGGCCTGCTGATTGGCGCATCCCGTGCTGCCGTGTGGTGCATCACACCTCGGCAGCAAGAAACCCCGACGCACGATCGCATGTGCGAAGCGAGCGATATCGCGGCACCTGCCGTCGATGCATCGGCAAGGTCTTAACTGGGATCTACAAGGTCAACCCTAGCGCGGTTATGCTGCAAGTATGATCTAGCTGAGGCATAGCCGTGGTCCAGGCAGGTGTCAGCCTTTCCCCACCAGCATGCACCTGCGTGACGCCGCCTCGGCCGCCACGTGCTTAGTTTCTCGGTCTCGCCTGTCAACTCAGGATCACGTCAGCGCCATACCGTGAATTACGGCAGTCCGTGCCGCGGTCCCCCGCGACCTGTCAACATGCCGTCAGCAGTGCCGGGAATCCAGGCGGCCGGCGCAGTTTGCGGGGCGGTCGATAGGGCAGGAAGTGGTCGGTGACATGCGGAGGTGGCGAGCGCCGGCCGGCTGGTCAGGGCTTCTGCTCTTCCGTTATCGATTCCCTGCAACTACCGGGGCCTCCCTCCCATGGTTCCGTCTGTGTGCTTGGGGTGCCGGTCGTGTAGTGGTTGACGCGTCTGCGTTAACCACCGCGCGTCTGGGAAACCAGAGGTACGGGGTTCGATTCCCCGCGGTGCCCGCCCTTCCTGCCAGGGTTAGAGGCAGGCGACGCCTTATAGCCTCGGCAGCTGAGTGCGTCGTAAAGCCCCAAAGACACACACACGTCTCTGCGCTTGGCCAAACGTTGGGTCGGCCGGTTGCATGGCGATCAGAGATGGCCGATATGCACGTGTGATGGCTGCGTGGCCTAACGTCACCCACTCGGGCAAAGTGTCACCGGTTGGCGTCTCGTGCAACTGAGGTCAGTCATGGCGTCTAATCACTTCGCGACGGACTTTAGTTCTGTCTTGCCAGAACACCACCGGGGATTTCTAAGCAACTGAGATGATGTCATTCGCACCGTGATAGATCCACTAGGATTTGATGCATAAACTGAGTCCAAGTACTTTGCTCCGATCAAGCGCTTGGTGATTAGCTCGACGTAAACAAGGATAACCTATCTGGATTGAGTGAGATGTTTTGCTTCTGATGAGGGCATATGTTCAGATATATCTCGCAGAAAATTGTTCTAAAGCGAACCGTGTTAGGCGAATATTCAAATGCTAGAGCCGCGAAGTTGTCGAAAGCCGTTGAAAGCCGTTGACAGCCGTCTCACACCTAACCGACTGGCGCATTGTACGCCACTCGAGCGTCAGAAGCACCTGTGTACACAACGCCAGCTCAGCCGTCAAATAGACGCCCTTCTGGGAGTGGTGCCACCGTCTCGATAGTCAACTCATCGGGGCCGACCGTTGCCGTGGTTCAGACGACTCGGCCGCGCCGGCCGGGCGGCCAGGGGCCGAGGCGCGTGCGAGGCCGCGCCGGCCGGAGGACCCGAAGCCGAGGCGCGTGCGAGGCGGTGCGTTAGACGCTCGGCCACACCGCGGAGGACCCGAGCCGAGGCACGTGCGACGGTGCGTTAGACGACTCGGCCACGCTGGCCGGGGACCCGAGGCCGAGGCGCGTGCAGGACTCGCGTTAGACGGCTCGGCCACGCTGCCGGGGGACCCGAGGCCGAGGCGCGTGCGAGGACTCGCGTTAGACGACTCGGCCACGCTGGCCGGGGGACCCGAGGCCGAGGCGCGTGCGAGGCCGCGAGGTCTGCCGCACACCGCCGAGCAGGGACACCTCATGTGCGACGACTTTGTCCGCTATCAGGCAGATCGGCACACCGGGCGGTGCAGCACTAGCACAGCCTTCTGTGCACGGGGCTCGAGATGCACTTCCATAGCCCACGGCGTCTCGAGCACGTTGCTCGATCGCTAGCAGATGCATTGCAGTTCGGTGTGTATTAGAGGCTCTGTATCAGTTGTGCTGCAGATACTATCGGTTAACTTTGAGCTGGTTTTGATGTGAAGATGACGACCACTTGTAAAATAACCCGGTAGGTCTACCACGCACGATTTTCACGAATTGTTTCCTTATTTCTCATCTTTCGGTCTCATAGAAACCACGTTATAAAGCACTGAGTGTCGAATCAAAGACACAGTCTTACCGTTATCGACGATGTTGACCGAACTAGAGCTGCAGAATGCGACCATAAAAGCCACGATTGCTTGTTCAATCATGGCAATGATAAGCTCTCCGCCCCACGGCGACCTAAGCGAAGGGTTGCCGTAGTGGTAATCACGGCAGTGCCTGTTACGCGAGGTTATCACCAATGGAGCGGAAATTTTCGACGTTAATGCACTGAAACCATGTACTTCAAAGTTGATGCCCTTTTCAAAATTAACTTTTGCAAAGTTCCGTGTCGATGCACACCCGTATAATTTGTATCTCATTCGATTATCTTCTGGCTAGTGCCAGTTCCAGATGACAAACTCCGACAGATTTGGGTACGGTGAGCCTACGAAGCACTGGCGAACGTCACAGCATGGCGGTGGACCTTTACACTGGTGCAAACACCGAAAGAGGCACTCAGTGTGATGGTCACATACTGTGCGCACCGGCGCAAGGGGTGCATACCTCGCAAGCCGTTAAACCTCTCGCTCCACATGCGACCGTTGCCTAAAGCCGAACGAGGATTTTCCCCGGACTTACCCAAACCACCTCCCGGACCAGGGTTCGCGCCCTGTACTCCCTCATTCGCCCACTACGTGTGCGATGCGGTGTCCGTGCGCGCGTTTCGACCGACTCAGATCACATTCTAGCCCGAAATTTGCTGCGTGACGTGGCGTCGCGGCGTGCAAACGCCGCCCGCGGCCGGTAGACACACCTCACGTGCTACGAACGCTGACGTCATCGGCGGCAGGAGCCGCACCGGCGGCCGTTGGCCGGACCGACGCCGCCGGTCGGCACCACCGAGTCCGCAGCCGGACCTGGTGACGTCACCGACGAGCAGTGACGTCATTCGTGGGCGGGAAGGTGGGGCGATGGCCATGCCTCCCGCAACTTTTGAACGGTTATGGGCTGAGCCTGTGACATTGCATGGAAAAGGGAGTGAAAACGCCCACGTCCCCTCCCGCGCACTGGGTCAGGCTCTTCGCTTCTGACGTCATCTGCAACGGCAGTGACGTCATGGTCGGCCAGGGGCAGCGGGCTTGGCTCTGCAGCGGCGGGCTGGACCTGCAGCCTAATTGGTTCAATGGCGTCGCCGCCCAGCTGGCTGGCTGGCCCTCGAGCGGCAATGACCGGCGGAGCGGACGGCCGACTGCGGCCGGCGGCTGGCTGTGGCCGGGTCAGACCGAACACTACGGCCGACTGTGGCCGGGTCTGACCGAACGCTACGGCCGACTGTGGCCGGGTCCGACCGAACACTACGGCCGACTGCGGCCGGGTCTGACCGAACACTACGGCCGGGTGTGGCCGGGTCTGACCGAACACTACGGCCGACTGCGGCCGAGTCCGACCGACCGAACACTACGGCCGACTGCGGCCGGTCCGACCGAACACTACGGCCGACTGCGGCCGGGTCCGACCGAACACTACGGCGGCGCGGCCGGGTTCAGCCAAACACTGTGATGCAGGTCACCAATATGGTCTGATGTATCGGGGTTCCAGTCCGGTCCAGGCGGTGGCTTCGACGTGAGGCGATGCAGGCCACCGATCTGGTCTGATGAGCCGGCACCAGTCCTGTCCGGGCGGTACAGGTCACCGATCTGGTCTAATGAGCCGGCACCAGTCCGGATCGGGCGGTGCATGTCACCGATCTGGTCTGACAGGTCCCGGTGCGGCCTGGGAGCGGAAGCGGTCGACCACCGCCACGCCTGCAGTGGAAGAGCGGCGGCGGCGGCGGCGCGGGCACGGCTGACCCTGCACCGCGCCCCGACCCCTGACCTGAGCTCGCCGCCGCCGCCGCTGGCCGGCTGCGCCAGACACGAATACCGGAGCACTGCAGCGCGGTCGGCCCAGCTTTGAGGAACGATTTGCGCAGGCCGCTCACCGCTGGGGTCAAGCGGTGACCTGGTGGGCTTTACAGAGGTCAGGCACCCATCACGTGCGCTGTGTCGGGGCATTACGAATTGTACCTGATCATGACGATATGATTCGGAGAACCTCATTATATCAGGATTCCCTCATTTTTGCATTTGGTTTTGTCCGTTTGGTTACATATGCCCTCTTTACGCGTATGAAAGGTAATGATTTCCGAACCATCATGGCTTCTATCGAGCCACTGCCGTACGCCATCCGGAGCCACTATGGCCGTTACCTGGTCGCCATGCCTGATCTTTACATCTGGGTCGCCATGCCTGATCTATATATCTGGGTCGCCATGCCTGATCTGCACGTCTGTCCGGAGTAGGAACACAGCCGTGGAAGCCCACAAATCCTATAAAAGTAGCAGTCTTGTAACTACAAGCTCAGGTGTGTCCAGTTTACAAGTGCAGAGTTACAAGTCACAGTTACAGTTTACAAGCCTGTGGGCCCGCAGGCTCTCTGCTCTCTCAGCACTGCTCAGTGATGTCCAGCAGGTAGAACAGTTTTGAGGTGTGCAGGTATGTAGGTGCGAATGGGAATGCTGAAATCACGTTGCTGTGACCAAGCTGCTGAAGGGCACGCCATCCTGTAGCGATATGTTGATACTGTGGTATATTCGCGTGAAGTTAGCATGGTCACTGCCACACCCACCACGCTGCATCCTCGTAGCTGCCCATAGGTCTCCCTCAGGGGGTGGGGGAGAACTCCGAGTCCTCGGTCAGCCCCGGCGCGGGGCGCCGCGCGTGTGACGGTCGGGAGCTCCGCGCGTCTCCGGCGCGCCATCAGAGCACCTGTCGTCCGGCCGACGGTGACTATCGACTATCGATGGAGCGTCGTCACCGCGCCGCAGCCCCGTTAGCGGCCGTGATCGGCGGCCCACGTGACTCGTCACGGTGGCCGGCTGCC